TTTAATGCCTAGATTTTAATTAAACATTTAATGCTGGGAAGACAGTCCTCACTACACAAAATATTTACCACAGCTTTTACCATGCCTATGTGGTGCTAAGCCATAGTGGTGTATTCTGGCATCCTTTTTTTCCTGCTTGCTGGAATTACCTTTATGCCCTGCTGGAGGCTGGTGTCTGTCAAAGGGCTCCCCAGACATTCTCCGAGACCTTCTCTTCAACATGAGACACCGAGCGGAGAAGGAGCTGGCGAGTGATGGATTTGCATTAACCCCAGGTTGTATTAAACCCAAACCAGACCTACTCTAGAAAAAGACAATGCTGGGAAAGACTGTCATCAGTGCCAAGATTTTGGTTAATCCACCACATTTGTCCCTGTCAGGTCTCGCAGCAGCTGACAAGACAGCCACGTGCAATCCCCATTTCACACACAGGCAGCTCAGAAGCCTGTTAAAGGGCAACACCGCAGCTGACAGCGAGACGGGCGAGGATGTTCTGCCATGCAGCTTCCGGCATGGGCGATCTCGTGTTCAGTCTCCACTTGGAGCAAGCGAGTGCCTGGCACAGAAATGTTACCAGACACCATGTGCTAGAGCGAGGGGCAGTGCCAAATGCTTTCTGAAAGGCCTGAAATACATTCAGCTCCCAAAATGAGGCAGTTCTCATTATTCCCATTGCCGTTCCTCCTTGCTAAAATTCCTCTTCTTTTAAGTGGGATTTTTTTTTTTTTTTTTTAAGCAGAACAGTTTCAAAATTTATCTTACAAGGCCTTAGTGCCCACAGTTACATCTGCCATCTTTTCACTTTAATGATCTTCTATTCAAGTGGAATAATTTATTACCTTCAGTTTCTAATGATGCCATTTTTGCAGTTTGCAAGCCTACTCTGTGTGCAAGAGATATGCAGAGGAAATTGCCCATGTTCTTCCATCAGCAAAAATCTTCAGCAGAGAGAAACGCTTGAAATTTTATTCACATATGTACAACATTTCTAATCATCATCACCCTAAGGATTATCATCCCTCAATTGCAGAAGGCACTTTCTAAAGAGGAGCAAGTATCTCACCAGAAAAAGCACATTTCTGGACCTCATTTTCACCACAACAGGAATGTAAGAGAAGGGCTGTGCTAACCGCCCATGTGGATAGCTGTCTGCCTTCCATGCCTCTGAACTCCTTCAATTTTATTTTAAAGCTGTCTAGAATTTCTTAACTGCTTCGCATTTCTTTTGAAGCAGTCTAGAAGCTTATGAAGTCCTTGTTTATTGGATTTGAAAGTAGACATTTAAACTATACATAAATAAAACTATTTCATAAAGATCATTTCTGAGGAGCTATTGGTTAACTTTTTAAAACCCGATCAGCATGTTTCTGCTCAGGTTTGTGCTAGTTAACTCCAGAACAGTCTCCCTAAAACTAACAGAATTCACTGATGAGAAGTTTGGTCAGGATAAAAGTCCAGGCCAGCGTCCCCAAAGATAAATAAAGGAAGGTTCTTCAACCAATGTTGAGTAGCGTCACATCTTTTCCCCTCGGCAGGAAGTTTAAGCGCTAGGTTTTTCTAGTCCGTGTCATCAGCAAATGGCACTCCATGCCTCTCTTCAGCCCTGGGTGGAACGCAGCCCTTCACGTCTCAGTGCCACAGCCCACTTGGTCACTGTAGCTCCGGCAAGGCGTCTGCTGCGCAGCGGAATCCCAGATTCGAAGCGGAGCTGTCGGGCGTGTTCTGACTGCGGGCCGCGCAGCGATACCTGTAGCAGTAGGACTGGAGAAACAAGGGCAAGGGGGGAAAAGAGAGAACTTTAGAGCATATACAGCGTGGGTTTCCTGAGGCAAGAGTTCGTTACGTTAATACAGCAAAACATTTCAAATGCTGTTGGAAAGATCAATGAAGTGATCAAAATCACTGTTAGAAATACGGGAAATCCCACTGTATACAGAGCCCAGTTGCAGCTGATGCAGAAGGTAGTTTGAATGGCAAAGTGTCAACTAATAATATATCCTGCTCCCACAAAAAGCTAGAATATTCATTCTGCTTGTCCTCTTTTCACAGGAAAAGAGCGCGTCTCACTGCCTTGATCTGTGTATCTGTATACTCAGGGACGACTGGAAATGGAGAGGTACCGGCACCTGTCAGAAAACATTTCACTGAATGAGATACAACCAGAAAGGAGAAGCTGGAGGCAAACTCCTTCCCAGTATTCCTATGGCTAGCATTTTAGGGATGTTTACAATCAAGGTATAATCTGGACTGGTGGCTATGAAAATATTTACATTTAAAATTAAGCCACTGGTAAAATGATTCACAGCATTTCAGATACTCCTAGTAGACAGCTTTGAACACCGTCCTCTTCCAGAACGGGCTGCAATCACACAGCAGCTGCCTCTCAGAAAACGCAAGGAGGAACCATCGTCACCATTTCATTTCTTTAAGTGAGAGGGGAGTACAAGATCATTTGACATTTGTCCTCACACCCATCAGATACAGCTATTTGAGGCCACTGATGTGTGTCGGTGGGAAATATCTCTGTGCTTTTATTCACGGTATTTTCCATCTTGTGCTTGTAAGATTTGGTATTTCTGTGATAGACCAATTTAGATCAAAAATGTCATCTTAAAAGTTGCAGAAAAGGACTGCTGTGGGGTGCTCTGCACAAGTTGTTGTGAGAAAGGCTGTTAACTTACAACCAAATGAATCTAAACGGGACAAGGTCAGACATCTTTACAGCAAGACACTGGTCTATAACATGTTATATGGCCATACATACAGCCATACATGGCTGTTACAGATTTGGCCATGTCTCAGTGCAGGTTAATACACTTACAGTCCTTGAAAATAGAAAAACCTGTGCTATTCACGGTGCTACAGGTTCTCAGTTACCTGACATTAGGAACGGTGGTTTCCAAACTGCAGAACTAAGCAGTTTAAGCAGTTTGCTACGGGGTGGCAGAGGAGAAGGTAGTTTTCCTCCTTTAAACCCAGATCCCTTTCAGGAGTTTTAGCACAGCTACTGAACAGTTCAATTTGTACAAGGGTGGTGACAGCTGAAACGGGCTCTGTCATCAAGGGACCCACCCTGTGAACCACACCATCCCTGCAGCGGCAGGAGGTCACCCAGGTGTTTATCTCCATGAGTTAACAGTATCTCCACCTGAAGACGTTCAAACAACAGTTGGTCACCAGCTCTTGCATAGCAGCACAGAGCCAGGGGATGCTCTGAGGATGGTGCACGCTGCCGCTCTCCCGCTGCAGAGGTCCACCCTAACCCTGACCACTGCACCGCAGGATTGAGAAGCTGAGCTGTTTATAAATAAAAGTAGCTGCTAAGCGTACATGTAAAAAGCTGCAAACTGTAGCTTTTGTCACCTCAGAGAGGTAGAACAGCAGTAGAATAGATTAGTCTGAATAGATGTTTAGGCACCTAATAAAGAGCCCTTCTACCAATAGTATTCAGTGGGGTTTTTGGTCTTGGTACACAGCCTAGTTTTATCACCTACAAAAAAGACTAGGACAGACTAGAATCTTCACAAGCTTTTAAAATGGGTCACATTATTCATCACTGAAGTCTATTCCAGTGTTAATTTAATCAAAACTGCTAATTAACATCTGACATTGCTTTCACCCAAGAAGGAAATCAGTGTAGAAAATGGGATCTCTCTGTAGAAAATTTAATCTAATTATGAGAATGATTTGCCAGCTGCAGGCTTTGAAAGGGAAAAAGAACAGGACAGCTTTAATGAAAAAGGAGATCTACAATGAGAATTTTTTCCAGCACGGAGTGAACAGTTTAAAACATGATTTATGTGATGAACAGCTACTGTGCTGTGGTGGTAACCAGACTTCTCAGAAGAATTTCAAGACTAAGCTGAAACACTCATCTCCCAGCAATCTTTCCGCTAACACCTGATATCCTTTCTGGATCAAGAATCGTTCTAAAACTAGAAAGTTACATCTGTACTTTCTACTTTTACAAGTTTCACTCAAGCGCTATAACACAAATAGCATTAGAGGCATACATCAATTTTAACTTCTACATCAAAAAAAACCCCAACCCACAACCATAATGGGTAAAGCAGTTTGTTGTTAGCTTGGAATTAAAACAAACAAAGAATTCCTTAATGCCATTAGGTATTGCTCTTCCTCAAATTGCATTAAACCCCTTAACAAGCATCCAGACTGCCAGGAAGCTCTGTCAGGAGGTCCTTTCACAGTTGAGTCAGGTGCTTTCAGAGGAAAGATCAATATGAAAATACCACAGGCTTTTTCACGTTACCTTGTGGCACATATAGGATCCACCCTTCTTCACCCTGTCTGTCCCTGATGAGGGCCCTTTCTGTGGAAGAAAAGTCAGTTAGTATTTTTCACATATATATGTGTATGTGTGTATATAATGGTTAGTATTCATGGAAGAACAATTGCCAATTACAGGGTAAAGGTTAAAGGCTGTAAGAATAGGGAGATGGGTAAGGAGCAGCCGTAAATATTCACAGTAAACAAATTTCAGCTAAGTCTGTCCGAACCAGAAAGCTTGAAATAATTATGCTGTAAAAGACTTGCAGACAGGTGAGAGTAATTGTTCTGCCTCCCCACTGCTGCAAATATTTAACATTCAAGTTGCTGCCCACTGGCCAAGAGGGCTTTGTTTCTGTAAAGCACCTGACAGTACGCTGTAAAAAGAACAGTGGCCGTCCTGAGACCCTACTGATCTTTGAGAACAGGTAAGTCTCTGGAGTTTCAGACTTTTCCTCATGAGATTAGGAAGTTTTCACACACCAGCCTGCACATGTAGTGAAATCTGTCATTCCCATCAGTTCCACTGCTGTGAAACAAATGTTTGCGAGCCCATGAGCCTCCAACGGAACGTGGAGAGCGTCCACTCTTCTCGATGCAGTTGCACTGTTCGGTGGCCAGCTGTGATGAGGGGCTGCAATGCCCCATTTTTGGTGCTTACTCTCTTTCCAGTCCAAAATCAAGTCTGAAACCCAAGTTAGTGACTGTGCAGCAAGACATTCTGTATCATCTCCCAGTCACCAGGTGATAAATTGGTAATCATCTGGGATCATGAGAGCTAAAAAGGTCTGCAGAGAGCACTGTGGTTACGAGCAACAATTTAGTAATTGCACATACATTTGCAGTGTAATGTGTGTGATTTATTCGAAGTGCTCAGGAAATTGGCCCTAGAACTGATTTAACAAGGTTATTTCACTCTTCTTTTTCAATTCCAACTCCAAAGCATGGCCTAATAGTTCAAGGAGAAAGCTGGGCTTCCTTGGTAACACACTCTTTTGCTTGCTTTGATGCATATTTATTACAAAGGTGAACAATTCTCCCGCTTCATTCCTTTCAGCTGTGGAAGTTACTACTGCACTCATCCAACTCTCGGAGATTAATGCTATACTTTATGTTTCCACTGTTGATACCAAATATTCTTAATGCTTTCTACACTCCACATTCATTGAAAAGCTACTTTTAGGACACAGCCACAAGAATATCTGTCTTATGGAAGTGACAAACAAGATGCAGAAAATAATTTACGTTTTATTAGTTAAGTGGCAAGTCAGGCCACAAAGAATCCTCTCGAAGTTGTAGGATTTGCATGGATTTCTATTTCTGTACATGTTAGGCTAGCATGCAACATTTTCTTATCATGTACAAGTCTTCCAATAAAGAATTTTTCACATAACTGGAGGTCGAAGCTGTTTCTTGACTGGTTGGTAGGGTGTCTAAATCAAGTCTGTATTTCTAGACAAAACCTTATTCCACAAATTTTCCTGATACAGGTGGAAAGACTTGTGATGTTCTCCAAAATCCCTGCATTTTCTGCTAAGACCATTACCTATATCAAAAAAATATAGGTTGCAAGAAAGTCATCAGCCCAGTTTTTAAGCTATTAGGAAAAAAGTATGCATCGCTACAGAGTATGTAAATGATGTAAACCAGTATCATTAAAAGAAACATAATAGGTTAAAAACAGACAATTGCTGAAAAAGAAATTCTGCCAGTTATTTCGTCTCCTCCTGTCCAACAGCCAGCCGTGCATCCTGCAGTAGCTGAAGGGTGCTGTGCGTTCTGCAAAGCCGTAAGAACAAGGCCTTGACCAATATAAATGCCGTCACCACAGAAAAATTTCACTTCTATGGCATCTCCTGAATACAAGCATAATTCCCCTTTCAGAGGCAGGTTCCTAAAGAGGGGCTTTCCCAGGAATGACACCAGCTTTCCTCAAGGAAAGCGATGACCGGTTGGTTACACCTGGTCATCGCGCTGTCCTACCCTCTATTGAGGGATATAGTCGCCTCCCACCCAGCTCCTGCATTACCAGAGGTGAAGTTCTAGAAGAATCACCACGAGACAAGTATTTGCAGCACTGAGTATAAGTCTCAAGGACTGTAAGAAAGCCAAACCAGAAAGTTGATGCTGGTGCTACGGGAGCTACTGACTGCACGCGAGTTGGACTGCTTTGCCAGGCTTCGTATCGAAATCTCAGCGTACTGAAACTTCAGCAGCTTCACAGTTACTGTAAAAGTTTACACAAGATGGGCAAAAAAGAATTTGACCTACTACTGCATTTAATACTCTTCAAATACTTAAGGGAAAACATGCCCAGAGGCAGTGTCCGCTCATTTCCCAGCCAGGGTGCTCCTCCACAGGATGGGCTTACTCCATTTCCAAGGTCTCTGGAAACTGTCTTCACAAAACCAGCATGCAGGTGCACGGAGCCCCGCTCTAAGATAAGCCACTAACAAGCACAATCAACCCAACAGCCTGTTAATCTCATTTTAAGGGAAGCCAGGGTAGAGCCAGCTAGAATAAAACAGACCTAAAAAAAAAGAAATACATGAGAACAAGAAAAAACAGAGAACAATGGAGCTGTTGAGCAGGATTTCCCATTAAAAACTGTAATGCAAATACAGAGCAGCAACCTTTGCTATTAGGGCCAAAGTAACTTTTATAAACTAAGAGCAGCATGCTAATCTAGGATTAGAAGGTTTATTGTCCAAGCATACGATTATTGCATGTTTCAGCAGTTATACGAGCATAACATATACTGAAGAAGCATGTGAACCAGAGAAAATGGTAATTGCATAAGCTCTTTTTATTAATTACTAGTAACTTCTGCCAGACAAAAATTGAGCAAAGATTCTCTCGTAACAACCCCAAAGTTTAACTGAAACCCCCCCCAGCCTCTGAAACAAGATTACAGCAGTGAAGCATTTTTTTACCACCTGCAAAAATCTGGTATAGTGTTCTCCGATAATCTGTTCTATGACAAAACACTTGAAAATTCACTGAAGATAACAAGTTCATCGTAAAACAACTGGGAAATTTCTTGGGAAAGCAGAAAGCCACTAGACATTAGTTGGAGAAACAATCCCTGCCTGTTTGACAACTGTCTATGGGCTACAATTTAATTCTCTTGATGTTGACATTTCCCTGTCTTGCTCTGCAGTTTAGCAAAGGAAAAGGTGAAAAGAAGTTGGGATAATCATGTTTCCCTATAGCTGTATCCAGCTACTTACATATGGACAAAATCAAACACACAAGCAGCTGTACGCAAGAGACCAACTCGATTGATACCTTCTCAGCTCGCGACTGCACTCAAATTGGGGCGGGTTAGAAAAGAACCCCAGAGCCTCAGAAGGTAGGGCACACTGAATTCAGTTCTCCTTCCTAGTGTCAAAAATGCCACGTACAAAAACTCGCAGTCTCATTTGAAGGCTACTGTGGAGTTAAAATTAGAACCGCAGCGAACACGGCAGGCAGCAACTGCGCTTCCGTTCAGCTCCTCTGCCAAAGGCACCACCGATTGCCTCGGTCCCCAGCAAAGCCACGCGGGCTGATCCGAAAGCGACCAAAATTCAGTGAAAGAGACGTTCTTATTCCAGACCGATGAGCATCCCTGTCACCACTTACGCTGTTGGAATGGGGTGTTGTGTTTCCTTTCTGTAATGGTTTGCTTGTGCATCCTGCGCAAGCTCCCTGCTTTGAAGGCCGAGGACTTCAAATTCCCCAGACGATTCATCAGCAGCCCAGCAGCCACGGGCTGTATTTGCATTCCGGCACTTCAGGAGCCCTTTACCACAGCTCCCGACCAATTCCCAGCTCGGCCACTGCGAGAAAGCTCAGGGCAAGCAGCTGTCCTCGCCCTGGGCTGCCTGCTGCCTGCCTTCGGTACCGGTACCGCTCCCTCCACCCCAGCCGCCTCTAAGAAACCCCCAACGCGCCACGTGCGGGAAGAAGCCACCCGGACTCTATTTCCTGAGCGCATGAAGTTGAACCATTTTGTCCGGGTAGGTAGAAAGGTGCTGCAGCTCCTTGGTCTACCTGCAGCGTGATCCGTCTCCGTTATCCAAAACAAGCCCCAACTCCCAGCTCCAAACTGAGAGCAAGGAAGCAGCCGAGACCCCACAGACAAACTGGAATGAGAGATTTCCATTTCCTGAGGGGTGTTAAGAGCTGGGTGTCCCTCACCCGCAACACCCCGCTTGTGAGGCTGTACGCAGGAGATGCACGCGTGCCCTTCTGACCAGGGGCCTTTTCTCCGGGTGGTCTTTCTCCTGCCTACACCACTTGCTCAACCTTTCTCTTGTTTCACAAAGCACCTTAGCAGTCCTTACACCTGCAGATGCAGCAATGTAAGCTCATTCCTGTCTGAGTGCTGGCTGCTTAGAGAATACTGCAAAACCCAACCACACCCCGGGCAACCTCACTGCTTTGTCATCCACAGAGCTACACAGACTTCAGGTATGGCACCCCAAAGGCCAAGATCCCTCCCGTCAACAGCTTTTCTGGAATCATGCATGCATTTAACAGCGTGGTAGAGTAAGGGTGTACAACCATTATCTAACTTTGGCCAATGTTCCAGCTCAATACCACATATTTCTTGTAATTAAAAAAACAAGGAGAAAGCCTGCAATGTTAGTATTTGCTCATGCTTGTGGCTTTCTCACACATAAAGGAAACCTGCTTTGGTTGTCCTTACACATAATAAAAACTAATCACAGCACCGCCATTAAGGTCACACTTGATTAAAACAAGTAAATCATTCTTCCATCAAACGATATTGTTTCATGCCATTATCGGAAGAAGTGTACCATCTGATATGGGACTGGAAGGACATTTGCCGTCCGTAGGTGGAGAGCCAGAGCTGTCCAGACTTTGATCCCAGATTTAAAGAACAGAATTTACTGCACATTGACAAGTTTGGTTTGTAGTATAACGTAACTGACACATTACTGTCTGACTGCATAATTAAAAGTGCTTCTGTATTCAATTACCAACACTTACAAGTAAGATTATTCTTTTAAAAGTTATTAAAATACATCATAGAAG